TTCCATATTGTTGATAATATCAGGATGTAAGTTTTAAAAAAAAAAACTAATCTCACCGTAGGGGCCAACTTTGCATTGTCGACAGAGTAAATTCATTAGTAACGTTCATGTTGTAGGTTCTTTTCTCTTTTTTTTCTCTTACAGATTATTTTATTCATTTATTCATAGCCTTCATACTTCTTTTATTTGTGATAAGACTGAATACGAGAGCAGGAAATTTCCAAGATTAAAGTGTGGTCTATATATATTAAAAATTATTTCTATATTGTGAATTACCTGGGACCATAAAAAGCCTCTTTGATCTTTATAAGGATTAAATAGCAACATAACAAATGCATTCTGGCCCTAGAACCTGGCACAGATACTGAGGATTTTGAGGGTCTCTGAACGCCCTCACCCTCCACAGTAAGCTTCTCACAATCCGTGCGCCAACATCTTCCAAATGTGGCGCCATTTTTTTCACAGATTGTGGGTGGAGGAGAGGTGGTTTACAGGGTAGCATGGAGTTAACCACAAAGATAATCTACTCGGAGCAGTTTAGACATGGTGAGTAAATTGCCATGACAACATCACTAGGGTAAAATCTATCCGCCTTTTATAGTACGAGTTAACCTGAAAGTTACACCTTACGTCACAAAGTTACTCCTGAAGTTAGCTGGATAAGCCAGTTACCTCGCTTCGTAGTACAGCCCTCTTGTTCTTCACAAAGCTCTGTGCAGTAAACCCATCAGAGGAGAGCACAGTGTTGTTTTCTTGCCTCACAGTTTGTAAAAGTAAGCTTGCAAGGCACAAACTTGCAAAACAGAAGCCTAAATGAGTGTTCAGACTGCAAGCACAGACCTGAATATGTAAGCTTTCAACATAGAGCTAACAGGCACAAACTTCAGTGTACAAGCTTACAAAACTATGTTTTCAAGCACACCACTGACAATAGAAAGATATAATATTCCACATTACTTCCCAAAATGTAATAATCTAAATGCTGCACCGTAGCACAAGAACATGAAATGTAGGAGATTGGTTTGTCTCATCTCAACTCCACAGTTCTTTCTCCACTGCCTCAATCTGCATATGAAAGTCTGAAGCACACACACACACACACACACACACACACACACACACACACACACACACACACACACACACACACACCATGCTGTAGTGTCAGTGAGTCACCACAGTGACGCATTCTGATAGAACATTTGGTTTGGTGTGTGTATGTTTTTGTGTGTGTGAAGCCGTGGATGTTAAGCTCGAAGTAAGAGACAGTGAGAGCCCGCCACTGCTCGGCCCTCTGTCCAGTGCATGCTGGGACCCATCCACCTGTAACCCCTGTAAAAGCAGGTATATGAAACAATTCAATAAAACAATCAATTTTTATTTAGAAACGTAGTCCTAGGTTCCACTATGTCATACACTGGTGTGTTTGGTCTTATGTAACCATGATATAACCAAGATCCTTTTTTACTTTTTGAGTGTAAATGTAAGAAAATGTTCACAAATGCTATATTTAAATGGTGAAAGACAATGTACGGTGTGTCATTTGTTTAAATGGGCTAGCTTTATTTAAACACATTTGCTTACAAAATATTTTTTGGTCATATTACATAAGACTGTGTCACCAACAGGCAAAATCCTATTATTTATAATTATGGTGCTCCTGTTCTAAAGTGCATGTTAAATCACTGAGTAAAAAGACTCAAAATCAAATGTTGCAACTGTACTGGTAATGAGGAACAATTGTAACACACTGTGGGTTAGTTGTTACAGTCAGTAGGAACTTATTTAAATACATTATAACATAATTCCTCCTGACATATGTTACAGCGATGAAGGGCATGGACCTTCCACCTGAATAGTGATAAAATGAGGATTAAGCTCATTGATTCTTCTTTGGGAAAGAGCAGTGATCATGGTTTATGTTAAAGTAATAAGTCAACTTTTGGTTTCACATGGGACACGGACAGCAGCCTCCTGGGTGTGTCCTAGGTTTGACCCATCCCTGCCCCCATCCACCCACCCACCCACATACCCTGTCCTCCTCTCTATTACCCTTTTTTGCCAAGGTAGTTTGAGGGCTGGTTTGGAGCCAGTGTGTAAATTCAAACCAGTTCTTTGTGCTCCGACAGCCAAAGAACTGGCTCTCGGCCAAGAAAAGTGGTTCCAGGGTGGTCCCAACACTAGTCTAGAACCAGGAACCACTTATGTCAGGGGCTGGGGGCGCCTTATGGCCAGTTAGCTGTGTATTTATTAGCTGTTTAGCGAGCTACTAATTTCTCATATCAATGTTACAAACATAAGATAGATGTTATGAATGTAACATTGAGATGGCTGGCTAGCTAGCTGTTGGTCGCCTTGTTTACCCAAACAAGCTTAACTACTAATTTCTCGCAGGAATATTACTAACGAACCATTGATGTGAGGAATTAGTTAGCCGGCTAACGTTGGTAACAATAGCTAATGTTGGAGATATACATGTATACAGACATACAGTGACCTAATGACGAGGAAAAACAAACCAGTTAGTTACTGATTACATGTAATCAGGATTACACAAAACAAGTAAATCGGCCCAGAACCTTTTTAAAAATTAGATTATAGTTACATTGTCAAGGGTTACTTGATTACATGTTTGATTACGTCTTTAAAATATGGCAATTTTAAAATGAAATTGAAACTTTTTTCCATGACAAGCAGCGCTCTACGAACCCTCTGGGCTCTGTAGATCTTGATTTGGGAATGTGGTCAATCTCATGCTTTTCTATTGTGCAATGTGTTTGTGATCAGAGCTGCCACACACACGTCCACACAGCCTCTGATTGGTCGAGAAGTCAAGAACACAGCCACCAAATGCTCGACAGACTCAACCCAAGGCACCATGGGATTGCTAGTAGTGCTGTCAAACGATTAAAATATTTAATCGCGATTAATTGCATTAATGTCATAGTTAACTCGCAATTAATTTTTATATATTCTAAATGTCCCTTGATTTCTTTTTGTCCCATTATTTTTCTAATTTTAATTCTCTTATCAACGTGGAAAAGTGGATCGGCTTGCTTTGTGCAAATGTTGTTTTTATTGAAAACAACTGTAGTGTTCAATTTCACACTAACATTCTCACTTGGAGCAAATAATCTCTCACACAATGTAACACTGTAAATACTTTGTCACACAAACAGCCCCTTCAACAGCCCTTTCTAAGGGATCAAAACAGGGCGATACAATATAAAATTACAAAGTGCACATGTAAGGTAAACTGGGACTACAGTGCAGTTAAACCATGGCTTAATACTTTTCTCAAGTTTGCTTTGAACATAGCAGTCAGTCTACTGCTCTTTATTCACCAGAGGCTCAACCCAGCCTCTTCTTTCAGGAAGAATGAACAGTAACGGTTACCAATAAAAGGTGCGCCAACTACTTCTTTGCTTTGAGCCAGTTACTCAAACAGACAAGCCTGTTGACATTTTCAGACAACAAGGAATCCATCCATTTCGGCGTCTCGCACTCGCCATCCACTCAAACCGTAACGTCTACTACTCTTAAACAAGTGTGTGTGGCGTGCCTGTTGTTTTGTTTCCGGTCTAGCTAGATCCGGTGTGGTGTTGTAGTTTTTCTAATGTTACTAGTTGTTGCAACAGCATGTGAAAAGTGTGCTAGGCGTTAATCTTGCGATAAAAAAATTGACACCGTTAAAATGGGTTTGCGTTAACACCGTTAATAACACATTAAACTGACAGCACTAATTGCTAGTGGACGGCTAACAACCTTGCTAAATTTTTCAACATGGAAAAATGGATAAATAATCACAGAAGACATTCTAATTTGACCAACTGCAAATGTTGAATATGCAAAATGAATTTGACTTACATTGAAACAGTTTTGAGAAAAGTGAATATACGTGGAACTCAAAGTTCTGTGGCTGCGTCCATTTCTTTAGTATAAGGTGAAATATTTTCTGTTTGATTCTGAGGTTATCTAAAAGTATTCAGATTAGATTACATTTTTCTTGTAATCCAATGGATTATGTTACTAATGACAAAAATTGCTATGTAATTTGTATTCATTAACTGACTAATCTGACCCAACACTGGTCACACATGCATTAAAAAGAAATCTGGGAGTATTCTACCTATATCATGCTCTTGTTGCGCATTATTCATAATAAAATAAAGTTCTGGGGTCCCAACAGTAAATTATTGCCTCAGGGCCTCCGAACAGATTAATCATGAATACAAGTTTTAAAAGCTTCAAAGTGAGCTCCACATAGCTCTGACCAATATGAACAATATTTTCTGAAGATCTGTACACGACCACAAAGCTAGTAACCATTTTAGTATTATTCTCTGTTGTGTGACTGTGTGACTGTGTGTGTGTGTGTGTGTGTGTGTGTGTGTGTGTCGTTAAACAGTGTTCTGGGACTGAGGCAGTGGCAATTTGAAAAAAAAGCATTGTGAATTAAATCTGTTGGCTTTAATGAAAAAGTACTTTCTGGCATTAAGCCAATGAAAAAGCACAAAACCCATAATTTATTCAAAATACAAGGACATTACTGTAAGAAGGTTGCTGGGAAACAAATTAAATCACATGACTGACATTATTTCTGCAGATATGTTCATGTGTGAATACATATATTATGCTACGTGTATCATATGTGTGTATTTGTAGCATCAAAGGGCATCTAATACAATACAATATAAATTTAATTAACATTGATAAAACCTTATATCATACACCATGGAGGAAAGATCCACATTCTGACGTGCATTTGCCTCTGATGTAATCACACGCACTCTGCAACACATCACTCGTAGTTTTTTGATTTCAAAGAAATGCTAGAGAGCAGAAATGGAACGAAAGCTTGCCAAAAAGAAAATAACAACCAGCGCTTCACTCCCCACCATCTCTTCCCTTTCTCTTTACTCTCCTCCTATCTCCCTCGAGCTCACCTTCACTCATCACCTCATCTATTTTTTCCCTTCTGTTGCCAGGCAACAGACAGGAAGAGCATCACTTGGAGATGTCAAAACCACAGGAAGAGCTTGCAGGAAGGACCTGTTAAGCAGATGTTCCACGGTAGAGGCAGGCTCTACGGAACAGTGAGAAACAGGTTCCTACTCCTTTCTCAGCACTTTTCCTTGATACAAACTGTCATGACGTCCGGGATAGATGTTAAGGAGGATGATCAGTTGGAACAGATTTGAACAAATGTAACCAAGTTAGTTAAACATATGTTTTTGTCATCTTTCATATGTGCTGGATCTACTGCTACATAAATATATTGGTACTAAACCAATTCTTTAACCGTGGGTTGAGAATCTCCATACTTTGTGTTGGCAGTGTTTGGATTGAGGAATTCTGGGATTGCAGTAGCCTACCTAAAACAAAATCAAAATATAATTTAAAAATTTTTTTTTTTTTTTAAATCAGCTAATACCATAATTGTATGACATGTTTTGAACATAATTATTGGATAGTAATTCAATTAAAATGTACATTTTAAGTAAACCTCAGATGTTTTGGCCACTTGCTATGGCGAGCATGTTCATAGTTGTCTATTTACACATCCCAACATTAGTATTCATTAGGAGTCATGTTTGTGTCTACCTAATGAATAATCCAACTGTCTTTTACCTCTGTTTATGGTCTCTACCAATTCCTGGGGGATGATTTTAACTTCTTTCCAAGCGGCAACCTCCATGGCTTCAAATGAAACCAACACGAGAGTGCCGAAAACTGCAGTTCCTCTAACGGCCACTTGAGGCTGGCTCCAACAGTGGTCCAACATCTCCATAAGGCCCCATATTAAAATGGCCAACTTTACAGAAGAAATTAACACGTTTACAGCCTGGTACAAAAAACACTTTCGGTCTCTATAGATAATTTCCCTGTTCATGACAACTGTACAGGGGGTGAATTACTAAATAACTTGGGTTAAAATGTTAAAATTATAATGAGGCTTAACCTATCTGCGCCCGTAAATTGAATTTTTTATTTCCTTTGGTGGAAGTGTTTTCTGGGCCTATGTAAGCACAAAGTTCTCAATATGGGTCAAACCGTTTGGCTTAAAAGTGAGTTTTTCTTATCATACTATATTTAGTCTTTGAACACATGTGACTACTGATTTTTCCTAAAATGAAAAAGCAAACAAAGATATGCACGCATATGGAATGTTAAAAACTATGGAAAACATTTAATAAACACAATTTTAGTGTTTCTCCTCATTTTTGAAAAAACCTGACTTTGACATTTTACCAAAAGATTTTTTAAAGTTCTACTGTTAGATACTTGCCCAAAGTATGTAAGTACCACATTTTAAGACTTTAGACCAACCAGAATAAATGTTATGCCATTTTCCCTTATCGTACTAAATGTATTCTTAAGGCGCAAATTGGTTACATTTATGTATAATTAATTACGTGGCTGCTTTGAGTGACAGGTGAGTGCTGTCACAGGTGGCTCTCTTCAGTAACCAGTCCTCATTCAGTCTGCCTCAGCCCCTCCTCTTTGCCCACTTTTGGATCAGGACTGCCAAGATGGCGACGGCCAGAGCCGAACACATTGAGCTTCACAGCAGCTCTTCAGAAACCTCTGGGTGACGTCACTGAGACTACATCCATTTTTAATTATACAGTCTATGGTTTGGACAGGATAAAGTTAGGGACAATTTTTTTTTTTTTTTTTTTCAGTATGCTGACAAGATGCAGAAGATCTCTGCAGTTAGTGGTAGTTATTAGTTATAGTCTCCCCTATATTCTGGGCTCAAAAAATGAGCCCAGAATATATCTATAGAGAGGCAGAGACTGGAGGAGGTATTGTTGTACTCCTTCCATGTACAGTCAGACTGAGATAACTGTATGCACAGTAAAACCCAATAGATAGCTGTGGAGATGTCCTTATCTGACCAAGTGCTAACAATGCTAACAATGTGGAAGTGTAAGTTGCTGTACTGTAACTGAGGTGAGCCAGATACCACTGACACTGGCTGGTTAAGTAACCCCAGGATTGTGCATTATGTTGTGTTAGCTGGAGGGGGATGGATGAGAGGCCTGCGCGTATTCCTGTTTATTGTCCAGATAGGAGCAGAATATAGATAGGCCAGGTCAGTCACACAGTTGGCTCTCATGGTTGGCTCAGACACAGCATACTCCGGCACAGTTTCACAGTAAAACTTATATAACAAGTACAGTAACATAAAAATAGGTACCTGGCGTTGGCTCGCCACTGTCATCTCTCATACAGCACTCGAGAAAAGAGTCATTTAGTCCTGCAAAATGCATTTAATCCACTTTTTGTAGTCCACTATGTAGAAGCATTTCAGGCTCGGCTCTAGCAGCAAACGGGACATATTGATATGTCAACTTTATGATATGAAGTTGCTGCATTTTGTGCGTATTGAGCTTATCAACATACCCTGGGTTTATATCTCATATAACAGCGAGCTGAGAGAGAGCACTCATTTATGGTAAGGGGAATCATGTGCTATACAGACCTTGTTACACAAACTATGGCAACCGTGTTGGCACTAAGCATTATCCTGTTATCTTTATTTTGAGAAAGGGCCTGTTATTTCCTGTGTTGGAGAAGTTTAACAGAACAAAGTCTAAAAATCAAATTAAAAACGAATTATTCTTCTAAAATGACTCCTTGCTTTATACACATAAAGCCACATAAACCAGTTTGTGTTTCTCTGGCTGGGTCCGTGGACCCAGGTAGGCACCAAGTCCATGGAGGTCCAAGAGAGGACAGGAAATGTCAGGGAGTGGTACAAAGCTAGTGATTCTACGTAGCTTAGGTTACGACAGACTCATTTGTCACTTATGGCCATTTTGGTGTTAGCTATTTAGCTATATATTTCATCATTGTTTAGGATGGGCCATAGAATTTGGCTTAGAGTAAAATTTTGTCACATTTCTGAATGTTCAATAGGTGTATATGGTTAATTGAAGCAATAAATTCCTCAGTGCTGCAATATTGACCGAGATAGCTGAGTGCTTCTGCTTGCGAAGCTGTGCAGGCGTGCCTACATCTACCAGGATGCCTTGTGAATCAGCTTCTGACAGCCACGCCCACTGAGCAAGCTAAGTCAGCTGCTGGTTGCTAATCAAAGTTGCACAGCGTTGCCAAGCAAATGAATTCCTGCAGTTTGAGCATTTCTTTTTCATGCATAGCTATATTGTTAGCTTCAGGCTCCATGTTGAAACAGCCTGTAGTTCTTCCTTGATATCAATGACTTCATTGGACAGGGCTGGTGTCAAAGAGGAACAGACTTTGCAGATATTTCTTGGTCACTAGAGCATGCACTGAGGACTTTATTGCATCAGTTGACTCTATTACCATCAAAACTGATTGAACATCCACATAAATGTGGTAAATTTCCCCCTATTTGATGTTTTAACTCCAACGAGACAAATCCAAGGAAGTTTTGAGCTTTTTGTATAGTGTTGGAAAAATTAACTGTACTAGTTTGGTTAGCCGAAAAGTAGTTCCCTGTGCACTTAGCTAGAATAGTTAATCCAGGGGGCTAATTTCTGTGCTAACTTTGTTTGGACTCTGAGACAAAGTTACTCAGACTAAGTTTATTTTGGAAAAGCTTGCTACAACAAGTTAACCTTGGGAGGCAGCTGGACTTCGAGATTGATCTGATTGGTTGAATTGGTTTTCCTGTGATATACTGTGATAGACAGATGGTTCCTCCAATCACCTGCCAAGCACTTTTTGAAAGTACCCTTTTCCAAATCGTTTCCATCTCTGACTTCCCAGATGGTTCTGTGTAACAAACCATCTCAGCCAGGCTATAATATTGTATTCTGTATTTGCATGTCTATGTGTGTGCATGCGTCTCCACTATACACACACGGTGTGCAGAGCAGGCTCTGGTTTGTGGGTGGTGTGTGTGCATGCTAATGTGTTAACCCAGCTCACTCTGCTCATCAGTGGCTGTGTGCTGCTTGCTGCTGCTAAGAAAATGTTCCACATGATTTATCTTCAGTCGGTAATGTGGCCCCTTTTCATGCAAGTAAAATTCATCCTTATCTCTCTGCAGTTCTCTTTCTCTCTGCTCCGCATTTGATTCTTTTCTTCTTCCTCGTGGCAAGCACAGCAGCAGCATTTCCTTCTCCTCTGTGTCACCTCCACTCCCCCCCTCCCTCTCTCCCTCGCTAACCTCCCTCCATCTCCTGCTGCTTCCATCCTCCCTCCCTTTTTTCTGCTCTGTGTTTGCAGATGAAACAGGCAGCCTGCCAGTTTTTCATATTTCTTGGCAGCAAAGTGGCTAGCCAACTTCCTGGGGATGGGGAGCGGGAAAGGGGGGGAGTTGGGGGCTTGCAAAAGGTTACATTTGCACAATGTGTCTGTGAAAAAAAACAGCAAAGAAGAGGGAGGGAGTGAAAAAAGAAAGAAAGAAAGAGTGGAAAAGCTGGGCTGGATCAGCTAAACGACTCCACCGTTCTGGAGTAATGGAAAAAGCCCTCTGGGGGAATATTCAGTATGCAAGAGTATCGAGTTGCATGCAGTCATTACAATGATGTCTGTCCCTCTCTCTTTTTCTTTTTGTCTACCTTCTCTGGAATGTTCCCTCCCCTCCAACACACACACACACACCTACCTCACCTTCTCTCCCTCCCTCTCTGTCTGTGTGAAAGTGTTCTGTGAGGTGATAGCTGGAGCTGGTGGAATCATTGCAGTTTGACGGGTTTCTGCGTGCGTCGGGGGGCTGGTGGGGGGTGTTTGCTGCTTCTGATTATATACCAACAAATATCCACTACAGAACAACTGTATGCTCTGTCCCGCTGTTCTGTCAGGATTGACTGACTGTGGATGGATGGTGTGAGACAGATGGAGAGTTAAACAGTGAAGTGGAAAGACTGAGAGGGGGAGAAAATTCAGTTGTTTACCTCTACACTTTTCCTTCCACAGCTGTCTGTATGGAGGAAGCTGTAAGAAGACATTCTGGATTGCTGAAGGTATCTGTAATGAGGTCACTGAAATGTCTAGAGGTTGAGTAGGTAAAACCAATTAGCATTCAGCTGGAGACACCTCTGCTGGCAAAATAGCTTTAACTTTATTACGACTAGTTTGACCATTTAATAGGCAATTATAATATTGTGATCACCAAGTTGATTCTATGATCTGAGGATGTGGTGACGTCCCTAAAGAGAAGTATGATGGGACAAGCAATCCGACAATCAGATCAGAGCCCTCAGGTTAGCCAAACTTTCCACTGTAAACACCCACTGCAGTTTACAGACCCACTCCCTGCCTCAGCTTTGACCTGCCGTACTGAAGTTGTGTTTTCCGTGCAATGAGATGCTCCTCCCACTACCTCGGGACTGCTTTATCAGACAGTTCATGTGCACCTCAGGATGAATTGTAATAACCCTGGTGATCCTGTAACCTTCCAGGTATCCATGACGAAATACTTTCAAAACTAATGAAATTCCAAGTGTGAACCTATTGTGACGTCACCCATTGGTTTGTGGAGTACGGTTTTGAAGTTTGAAGCATCGAGTTCATGGTCGTCCCCATGACAGTTGGGAGCCAGCAGCAGTGACGTACTGCGAGTAGAGCTGCTCTCATTGGCTGCGCAGTTTTGACTCGTTCACAGCAGGAAACAGTGGTGGCTCACCTTGTCATGTGCATACTCATATTACAGCTAAACAGCACACTAAAATATTTTGTGAAATGATTTTAGGAAAGGTCGTTTAAGACCCAGAAACTCTGTCCATTATATATACTGTCACATTCCCATCATGCTGACATGCTAAAGTAAGATGTGAGATGGTGAACATCAGATCTGCAAAACATCATGTATAGAAATGTCATTATCTCAATGTCTAAGGACGTTTGAGAAAGTTAGAAAATGTGCTTTGGTGTGTTATATTTGCACTAGCTACTGGTATTGTAACAATACCAGGCTTGGGCTGGCAAGTGTGGCACATGCCAGATGGGCAAGGCAACCAGCAGCAATGTTGGGAAATAAGTTTGACTTACCTACTTAATGCTGAAACATCCCAGCCGACTGGGGGTTAGACCCTGAAAAAAACATTACTGATGGCCGTGACACATAAAAACATTAACAGTCCGCTGGCACCAAATGAAGAGCAGGCCACTGCTGAGGATGAGTGACAACCTCTTGCTTTATGCAACTGATAGGTGCATATGTTGGGGAAAAATGGTCCAGAGAAAAATAGCTAGGGCTCAATTTAGTTCCCAGTCCGGATCTAAAATACTAAAGTATTGTTGGTTACAATACTCACCCCTCCATCAAGCTCACGGATTATAACAGGTTTTGAGAATTACTTTTGCATTCCTTAGCAATAAATCTAACATTCTCTCACAATACATTTTGAATGATAATGATCCATACATCCGCAAGAAGCCTGACACTGGCTGTGACCCACAGGGGGGGCGGCTTCTGCTGTGGCTCTCTGTTGCTATGGTCATAGTAGATAACAGAGCTGCTAAGTCTGTTATTGCTAATATTAAGATAATTAGCAGAGGTTAATAAGTTCACTGCACTGTGCTATGACAGGCTGCTGCCTGGCTGTGAGAGGGACAGACTGTGGCTGCATAGCTGAGGCCGTGGCTGTATGAGGCATTGCTATAGCTTTGGGCGTTGCTCTTGTTGTAATTATGGCTATGGTTATGGCTGTGGCTGTTATGATGACCAAGGATGTGACACATACTTTATTAGTGGGTGTCACACTAACCATACAGTGTTAAGGGCTGTGCAGGTGCCGTTAGTTGACATGGTTGAGTTGGCTGAGCGTCGTGGTGAAGATGTTCCTGGTGGTTACACATCTGTAGTAGAAGGGATCACATCCTGGCGGGAGTGTCTGGCTTTAAAACGCTCTCTCGCCAATCGTGCTATCTTAGGTCCTGTAAAGAGTTGCCAGGGTAACCGCGCCACAGCCATAACCGTACAGGCATAGCAATAGCTGTAGTTCTATTCATAGCCACAACCATAGCCACAATCACAGCTTCAGCCCCAGCCACTGCTGTTAGGCAGGAACAGACAGCTACAGTTATGCTCACAGCCAGTCTGTACCTAATGCTGGAGCTCAGATTACCTCCAACATTTTATAGGAATGCTCCAGCATTTTGGAAAACTTCTTACTGAGGATTACATGAGAAGATCAATATCGATTTCAACTGTGTGTGTCCATTACAGAGATTGGTCCACTGAAAATACTTTTTAACAATGCTCTTTATAAAACACCCTTTAGAGCTCCTCCCCCTCCTGGGTAAACTTAGATATGGAAGAGTTTTCACACAGACTACAGTAAACTCACACAGTGTTTTCAGTTTCAATATCTTTATTTACAGCATGAACCGCCACCTGATCTCAATATTGTGCATTAAAACATAGTGTTCCTTGGTTTGTAAATGATGCTATAGACGACAGAGCTTCAGAGAGGAGGTGGTCCCTCTCGCTCCACATCATCGTCGGACCTTGATGAGCTTAATGATGAGCCCCCCATGTAGGTTTACAGCAGCAGACTTGGTTAGATTCCAACCTGCGGCCCTTTGCTACTTCTCTCTCTCTCTCTCTCTCTCTCTCTCTCTCTCTCTCTACCCCCGTTTTCCTGTCTATCTTCAACTGTCCAATCAAGTAAGGCATAAAAAGCCCCCAAAATATCTTTTAAAAAACAATCTAGTTTTAACTTAGCGGTGCTGCAAATGGCAAATTACTGTTCAGAAGCTAGCTAACGTTAGAAAGCTACTTCACTAGCCTTGATTTGTACCATAATGGTGTAACAACTTTCTCATACACATTACATTCCTATTACATCACATAGAAACTGTTAAAGGTCCAGAGTGTAACATTGAGGAGGATCTATTGTCAGAAATGGAATATAATATTCATAGGTATGTTTTCATTAGTGTGTAATCTGCTGAATATAGGAATTGTTGTATTTTCATTACATTTGAATGAGCCTCAAAATCATCAGACTTCCATGGGAGCCGCCATGTTGAAACGCCATGTTTCTACAATAGCCCAGAAGAGACAAACCAAACGTATTTTTGGTGGCCACCGTAGTTTCTCCTTTGGAAGGGGAGGGTAAAGCGAGAGAGTTGCGATTTTCAACTAAACCACTAGATGCCACTAAATCCTACAGACTGGTCCTTTAAAACATCAATATGTAATGAAAAGTTAAACAGAAAATTACTTACATTACTTCTGTTCCGCTCCTGACAATTTGTCCTTCACTTCAATGCATGATTGTATATTGTGCTTGGTTGTACACTACTTTCCGCAATGGACTGTGGGATACTTTAAGTCTGCTATATAGATGAAAGCAACCAATCCAGGTACTTTGGCCTTACATCAAGGCCCTGCCCCCTTTTGGGTGAAATGAGTCCCTCTAAATTGAATGCATTAAATGTAAACGTATGTAATGTGTACCTAAATCCTAGGGCCAACAAGGCAAACCACCATGTTGTGTCATTGCATCATTATATAAAAAGAATATGCAGAAATAGGTGTTGATGTGTGTCCTTTCAGTCTGTCTCCATCAGAACTAACATACACCACTACCTGACAGAATCTCATATTTCTCTCATTGTTTCTGTTGTTAAGACTCTTTATTCGTCTGTTTTGGTCGTCTGTCCAATGTGACATCACTGTAAACTAATTCTATCGCTGTGGTGAAGTAGAACCACTGTCATTATATTGATAGCAGTTTGTGTAAACAGGTGGGTTTATCTCCACTTCCTGTGTTACTTTATTCTGTTTACAAGGTTCATTATTAGAAGGTAGGTCAGCACAATATATGTGAATTATTAATGTTAAAATACCCTCTGCTTCACACTGTCAAACTCCGTTCTAAAAGCAGCTGTTTTATGGTAGGGCCATATTTTTTAAAAGTAAAAACTTTATTTACACCATCACTGAGACCGTTTACTGAGTCTCTTCAATTCACAGTTACAATCTGCACACATGTCATTTACTCAGTAACATCATTAACTAACCTGTGATGAAGTGTTTACCACAGATGAACACATACTCACTGTCCGGGTCCCTCAGTTCACCATTTTTATCCTCTCTGAAGATGGCCTAAAGCCACAGATCTTTTCTTTCACTGTCCTTCGTTGATTAGGAAAGTAGGAAAAATCGTAAACTGGGTTTTTTAAAAATTCGTTTGATGTGCAAAATGTGAAGCAGCAGCTTCTAGGGATAGTGCCACTAGGTACTTTTACAGCACATGTTTCACCCACGTGATGTGGCTGTTCTCATCTATGGGGTTTAATAATTCTCACTATAGAATTGGACAGCACTACAAAATGGCAAACTCCCTATATAGTGGACTATACAGTGGGGAGTGAGCGATGCCTGTGACTTTTCCACTGTAGCACCACCATGAGGATTTTGGTTCAGTTTGAATCAACTAACAATAACCAACAACTACTGGATGGACTGCTATGAAATGAAGCGATCCTCTGCCTTTCTATCTAGGGCCAACATAAGGTCCAACTTTCATTTTGACTATTACTTTAGTTTATGACCAAATACCTGCAAAACTAATGACTTTCCCATCAGCATCAGCTGCTCTTTGTGTTTGGTGCTTATTAGCAAATGTTAGCAATTATTGCATGTTACTCAGGTACTGTGTATTTTACTCAACATATTTTCATCTTACACATTTAACTCCTCCATACTGCATGCTGAGAAGAAGAATTAACTATGTAACTCTGTTCTAAACCTGCTTTTCAACAATGCCTTCGAACTAACAGCCTCCACTGCTGAGATGATTCTCTCTCCTCCTCTCTGTTTCCCTGCCACGCAGAAACAGGAGCGCTTGCACACACACACACACACACACACACACACACACACACACACACACACACACACACACACACACACACACACACACACACACACACACACACACACACACACTCAAACTGAAACACAACCCCCTCTCCCTCTCCTTCTCCTCTTTGCTGTGCTGCTTCTATAATTCAAATTCTGTCATGCTCGTTCCAGACTGCTGGCTCCAGCCTCTCTCTCTCTCTCTCTCTCTCTCGCTCTCTCTCTCTCTCTCTCTCTCTCTCTCTCCTCTCTCTTGCTCTCTCTCCCTCTCTCTCTCTCCCTCTCTAGGAAAATAAAAGCGATGAGGAAAAAAAGCTCTTTGAGGGACAAAGCTGACAGAACCACACACAGACAAATACACCAAGCTGAACTAAACAGCAAATGTGAAAAAGCCTGCTGTGCAATTGGATTCTTGCAGGAACACTGAGCATCATCTGCATTCTTCTCCTATTTTACACTCATTATTTTACTTTCTGTATCTCCCTTATCCCTGGTTCTAGTGGTAGAAGACGGCATGCTAATGGACCATTTTAATTACACACATAAAGAGGTAGTCTGCCAATTTATTGAGCTAGATAACAAAAAACGAATGACCAAAATTGAAGCACTACTGGCTGAGGTATCCTGACTTTAAGCCCCTAGCATGGGTCAAGCTAGAAGATTGCATCCTACACTAGCTATAATACAACTAGTCCATTTTTGGGACATCAGGGTTATTTTCTCTGTATTCCCCATGACTAGTCAACTCATCTGGACGTGTAATATCAGTGGAGTGGCCCTTTAAGACTTTTAACCATAGAGGGATTACTTTCCCAACAGCTCCAGGACTGTTCCCATATGAGAGAAGCTCCTTTACCTTCATTTTGTCCTTTACTCGTATGCTTATACATAACAACACTGTAACACAAACACTGTGGCTTATTCTTAAAATGCACAGTCCAAGGTTTGTGACTGCACAGACTGTGTACATAAAGCACGTTGAATGCGCATGCTCCCCGGCTCAACTGAGGGCAGCGGTGGCAACATGCTAGAGAGGGAACGGAGAGAGTGCGCCGACAACTAAGCAGTGAATCAGAGAAATAAAACATTATTTTTGGATTATTTCACAGCAGTCACGTCAAAAAAAAAAAAACATGGCCGTACCTCCACACAACTCTGCAGAAGGTGCGCATTGCTGGGTTTTGAGTGAATGCAGTTTCTGTGCTGTGTGTAGCTCAGCACCACCCAAGCAGACACAGACATAGAGTATCACATAGCCAGACCACACTACAGTTTAGCATTGTGCAAATGTGTGGAATGCCAGGCTGACATGGACCCTCAACTGTGTTGCTAATAAAAACATGGACACAAATTGTACAAACCAAAACATCAAGATCAAGAAATAGGCAAAGACAAGTTTCAAAATTCATTTTTAAAACATACTGTGTGGGAAGCACTGTACAACTATTGCATTACAGTACATATTGCATTTGCATTTGAAGGGACACTACATTGATTTCATATTAGAGTCAACATCAAAAGGGGAGTACTGCTATGTTGTTTATTAGAAAATTATATATTTTTATAAATCTTAAGTTCAGAGTTCATTCTGACCTTGGAAACAATAGTTGAGAAAACTAATCACTAGGTCCATTTAGCAGGAGGTTTCAGTCATATCACATGATATCAGATTGTAAGCCAACATAGAGGAGACGTTCATGTTGGACAAAGTGCTCAGACAAAAAGTAAATTCAAACATTTCTAAATCAGTGACAACTGGACAAACTCTATCTAGTAATTATGGTCATGTGTGGGCATCGAAGGCTCCAGAACAGCTACTAAGGCTGGTGATATGCTTGCTTTTACACGTTCGTGTATGCATGATGGCTGCCTTTTGTATTGCGATTAGAAGTCAACTAGCATTTACTCACTTACTAATATTCCAACCAAGACACAGTGCAAAGTGTTCTTTTCCCCTCTATATGGCTGATAGCTTCACTATTACAGAGGAGTTCTGCCCCTCTCTTCTCTTTTCCTTCAAGGTCTGTAGGTGTGTAGGGACCTGAACGTCCTTGGAGATGGAAAGCTGATGGACGTAACGTCCTCTTCCTTGTCTGAAACCTCCACACCTGATTGGCAGGACGGACACTCATGCTGTGACTTACTCTC